TATTGCACATTCTTATAGCTTATTTCAAGATCTTTCCAAAACATTATAATTAAGTATTTTTTCATTGAGCACTTTTCGAGTTATAAGGCTTGAAGTAAAGTTTCTTAATTTTACATAAAATATCTAGTAAAATATTCATTTTTCGATTGTCTTACTTTAATACTTTTATATGCAAAATAATGAGAGAAATCAATTGGTGTAAAGAAAAAAAATAGTTATTTTAAGAAAAAATGTAATTTTTAATTGCAATTATCTGAAACATTTTTGCTGAAAATGCTTCGTTGAAGAATTATCGAGGTGCGTTCTTTTAAATGGGACATCCTATATATATACATTTTTAAAATTACAAAAATTCTTTACTGTAAATAATTATATATAACTTTTAAGTTTACATACAATTATTTAAAAATTAAAATGTTTTATATTAGATATATTACATAATTATAAATTATATTACACATTGAAATGAACATATCTGAATTTATATAATTTTTAGTGAAAGAAGCCTTGCATACAATGAAAGTTTCAATACAATATTTATTAAACTAAATGTAGCGATGACAACAGTACATGAAATGGCACATCAATGGCTTAGTAATATAGTTACTCCATTATGGTGGTCTCAGATATGGTTAAGTGAAGGATTTGCGTCGTTCTTCCAAATATATATTCTCAATCAGGTATGTTCAATATGTTTTATTTGAATATAACTAAACATTCGAAAAAATGTTTCTGTTAAATTCAAATATAATATAATACAGCTGAATTATTCATAACTTTTTATATGATAAAAAGGAATGAATCGCTAATAACATAGGAGCCTGCAAGGGTAAATTATAAAAAGCAGAGTAGGTGAATCTGATAAATTTTTTGACGCTGATAACGAATCTAGCCGCAGAATTTCCCTAGCACGTCAGGTTCTCGAGTAATTTATAGTTAAATTGTCCAAAAATGGCAATTTCGACAAATTTCATGAATTTATTGTACAAGAACCTAATTTTTTGAAATATTTTTACCCATGGCATCGTATATAATACTAATCTTACCTTTTGAATACATTTTTGATTGTTGCTACACGATTTTTTTTCGCTGAGATATACAAGTATGAATTTAAAAAAAATTTACGTTAAAGAAAATTTATATGTACATTAACATCAATATGGCAGATCCATTATCTTGAAATTTGAAAAGGCTTACATATGTCAGGTTCAGTTGCCTAAAAAGGTTCTGTAAAAAAAATATATTTAATACAGTTGTTACATTTTGATATATTTTTCTAAATTTTATACCTTTTTATTATGATTCCGTCATAATGGATGTGCCATTTTTAATTTAAAAAAATGACAGACGGCATTCAAAATTTTATGTTTTTATAAAATTTTGATTAATGATAAGACAGACATAACACGGGTTAGAATGACTTCCCTAACAGCACACATGTGTAAAAGATGTCTAAAGAACATCCAAAAGATATCCTAGATATTCTCTTGATGTCCTTTGGACATCTTTCGGACATGAATGCTGTTAGAGGTATTGGACACTATGTATGACCATCACCTCTTATGACTTGTATATCTCTACGAAAAAAAATCGTGCAGAAGCAATTGAAAATTGATTTAAAAGGTGAAGATTAATAATATACGATGCCATTAACAGAAATATTTCAAAAAACTCTCCCATAATAAATTTATGAAATTTGCCGAAATTGCCATTTTTGGATTATTTATAAATTACTCAAAAATCTGACGTGCTGGAGAAATTTTGCGACTCGATTAATTTTCAGTGTCAAAAAATCTATCAGGTTCACCTACTCTGCCTTTTGTAGCTAATCAAATTTAAAATTCCGCTGGCCTGTATAATTTTAGATTACAATTACTTAAAGTTTAAAATAAGGTGAAAACGATTTCTTTAAAAACTAATTATTATATAGAATCATAACTGATATTCTGTTATTAATTCATAATGTTGACTTTTTTAATTTCAATCAAACTTTATTTGATTGATATTAAAATTTATGTATATTTTAGATTTTCAAGGAGTGGCGAATAATGGAATACTTTGTTGTTAATATTCAGCAAACAATTCTTCACAATGATATTAATATGAGTATGAGTCCAATTACATCAGAAATCAATAGACCCGAAGAAATTGAATCAGATCAATTCTTTGCCTCCATTTATGGCAAGGGTAAGATAGAATAAATAAATCATCAAGCTCAAATTTCCGAACATTGATGATCTAAAGTAAAAGAAACAATAAAATAAATGTTTTCCTGCTAAAATGTACTCTTTATCACAATGATCAATCTCTTTTATTAGCTATGTTCACAAATTTATGGATTTTACCATAAATTTTTCTAATGTATTTTACCATATATCGATTTTTGTATTTATTTATTTATTTATTTATTATTATTACAGCACCCGCTATACTGCGCATGTTACAACATACACTTACCGATGAGGTATTTCGAAATGGTCTTATTAAATATTTACACACGCAGTAAGTAATATATTTATCTTTTAATCTAGGCAATTTTAATGAAATTCAATGTAATAGCAATTCAAAAATAAACAGGTAAAAATAAATAGGTTAAAATGATGTTTTATCGTTAAGTTGCTCATATAATAATTCTATCAATAAAACACTATACAAATTAAACTATTTTTACAATTCAAAATGAATAATTAGTAATTATTTTTTACATTTCTATATGAATAATTTTTTACATTTTTCAACAAACTTTTTATATGTTTCAATAAACAACACAATAGTTTAATAATTATCAGAAAATAAAAAATTTTATTATTAAAACTGTTAAATAACAATAACTTATAAAATGTAAAAAATTGTAAGAAGTTAAGCATTGCAGATAATCCTTGAGAATTTTGCAAAATATTGTTTTAATCATTCTCAGAATAAAAAGAAATAAATCATTATTACATTTTAATGCTTCGATATAAAATATATGAAATAATTTTAATTATGGATTTATTTATATTTATGTGACTTATTGTAATATAATTTTTTTAACAAATCTATCTTTTATCTTTTATAATTTAGTCAATTCAGTTCGGCTACTTCCGACGACTTATGGAACGCTTTGCAAGCAGTGCTAGATAAATCAGATGTCCCGCATAATGCTTATAGATTGAAAGAGGTAATGGATACTTGGATAAAACAATCGGATTTCCCTGTAGTACATGTAACCCGAAAAAAAGATACCAATGAGATAATATTAACGCAAGAACATTTTGTTCTGAAAAATGAAAATAAGAACATTAATGATAATAAATGGTGGATACCTTTGACTTTTGCTACGCAAACGAATCCTGATTTTTCTAATACCTTACCCACTCATTGGCTAAAACCGCAAGATCGAAATATAACGATTGATAGAATTGATCAAAATGATTGGATTATTGTCAATTTACAACAAACGGGTGAGTATCTTTAATATACTCCATATTACTTTAGTGTAAATTTTTAAATATGGATTTACTTTTCTATTCATGAAGATCAGTAATCATTAAATTTATAATTAACCATTTATCATCATTTTTACATATTATTTATTTCTATTTATTTTCTATAAAATTTTATTTTTATTTTTATTTTGTATAAACTTTTTATAATATTTACATTTATAATGTATATAATATAAATTTTTAACACACATATATAAATGTAACAAAATACGAGAAAAGTATGATATATATGTTCATATATTAATATAATTTATTAATAAATAAATTAAATTAAATTAAATTAATTTATTTTTTAAATAAATTATTTAATAAATTTATAGCATAATTTACAATATTATTTAATTTCAATAGGATACTATCGTGTTAATTACGATTCTTCCATTTGGCAAAAAATTGTGGATTATCTTAAATCTGACGACTATATGAAAATCCATGTACTTAATCGTGCTCAAATCATCGATGACGCCTATCATTTTATGATGATAAATCAACATGATATTATGATGTTTTTAAGTCTAATAGGCTATCTATCACAGGAAACAGAATGTACACCATGGTATTCTATGTTTAAAATATTAAGACTTACAGAAGATATTTACAATGTTCCAGAAAATGAACATCTCAAAGTAAATAGTCACATAATCACTTAAAATAAAGAAATATATATGCGCACGTGCATGCATGCATATGGACGTGCGTGAGTTCGTGTGTGTATGTTTGTGTGTTGTGTGTGTGTGTGTGTGTGTATGTGTACACGTGCATCTAGTTCATAAAATAAATGTTCATATATCAATTACAAACCGATATAAAATTATTCTACGATTTTTTTAGTCATACATGCTTAAAATTTTGGATGGACTTATTAAGAATATAGGATATGAAGAAGATCCTTTCGATAATGACTTTACGAAACTTCAAAGAACCAGAGCTTTAAAATGGGCATGTACTTTGGGTCATTCCGAATGCAAGAGAATGGCTACTGTTAACCTGAATGAACATCTCTCAAATCCTAAAACACACAAGTAATTAACTTTATTTATTAAATTCTAATAAATTAATATGAATATATATGTGACAAAGTATTTAATAAATTATTAGCATTTTGTATACATATTTACACTCATACTTACATACATACATACATACATACGTGTGTGTGTGTGTGTGTGTGTGTGTGTGTGTGTGTGTGTGTGTGTGTACATACATATTAATTTTTTTATTATATGTTATAGAGTTCCGGTAAATTTAAAAAAATGGACATATTGTAATGGCTTGATGGAAGCAAATGTTTCTATTTGGAATAAGTTATACAATATATAGTATATATAAATAAACCAAATAAAGAGATTTTGATGTACTTAGTTTGCTCTGAAAATCCTGACATTATAATTAATTTCTTGGACATATTCATATCGAACAATTCAATAATACAAAATGAATATTATTATGTAATTTATTCTTTTATTATCAAACAACATGCTAAAAATAATGTAGTGGTCGATTATATATTAACAAATTTTGAAAAAATAATTCCAAGGTATTTTAATAACATATATTAATTGTAAAGCACATATTGTTTTTTGTATTTATCATCTATTTTTAAATTTTTATCTATTTATCTATTTTTTTATTTTTTTGCAGAAAGTATGATGCAAATAGTGAATTGACTGTTATAATTAACAATGTGTATTCTAAAGAAAAACTTGACGAGGTAAATTTTATTATTTTAAATTTTACATTTTTATTTATTTATATTTAAATTTATTTACTCCATTTTTATACAAAATTGTAGATTTTATAATTTTTCGATAGAATGCTATTGTATTAAAATTAAAATTTTATAATTAAAATGGAAAAATATTTTTAGTTTTACTTAATAAATACATTAAATGTATTTTCAATGATTTGATGAAATGATACAAAAGGCGAAAATTTATTTCAAACAATAGTAATAATTATATATTTTTCTACATGTTTTATATTGATTTGTTAGCACATTAGTTTTATATAAAATGATGAAATTTAACTAAAATCGTATCATGCTTTTATTACATAATACGACATTAAATTTGTAATAAGGATAAATATAAATTATTTTCAGATAAGCGAATTTGTAAGAAATGAATTTGAAGAGAAAGTATTTAAAGATGTTCAAGACAAGATAATAGAACGCAAAGAACTGTTAGATACATATGTCTCATTTCAACCACTTAATATAAAAGAGAAATTAAAATTATAAAATAATTATAATTTACTAGAACAATTGTCAAAAGGATACATATGTTTATTTATTTCTGATAATAATATTAAAACTTATCAGAAATTTTTTCGTTTCCTGTTTGTTAATTGAGAATAATTAAGATATTATTTTACATTTCTTACAATAATGTCTTTCTAAACTTATTCTTCATAATGTATTCCTTTTGTCTTTTATTCTCATCAAATAATTTTACATACAATATAGATCTGACTACATATGCAATAAAATTATAAATTAAATTATAACTTATATATATATGTATATATATTTAACTATAATGTAAAATAGATATTTATAAAATAACTCGACGTAACACGTTGTGATTCATTCTAACAAATACGATAATTATAACTATTAGAATTTTATATGCGAAACAAAAAGTTAGTTTGAATATCTAGTAAGATAATATTAATATTATTTTATTTATATGCAAGTTAATGTACAGAATAAATATATTTTTGTTAATCTCTTAAAATCAATTAATCAATAAATCAATAAATTAATAAGATTATTAATTCATGAATATGAAGTCTTAATTTATCTTTAGCCTTTAACATTACAAATCTTATAGTCTTGTATAGTTTTGTAAAGTTTTATAATATGTAGATTGTAATTTACTTGGAAATTAATGTGGCACTATTACAATTGTTTTCAAAATGTTTACGTTACTTCTAATGTTATGTTACTCCAAATGAAGTTAATGTTATCAATCAAGAGATTAATAAGTCTTTTTACATAAACACACAATTTGAATTTTTGCGAACAATAAGAAGCAGATGTGGATGATTATGCGATTTTACACAAAATTAAAAATTAAAATAAAAAATTAATTTAAATAAAAAAAATTAAAAAATTACTTAAAAGTTGGCAAGTAAGATCCAGTTAAACATGTTCCAATAAAACAATTAAAACGCAAGGAAGAGAAAAAAATACCTTCTTTTTTCTTTTATTAATATATTTCATATTTTATAATTGCTCGTTACAATACATGCATTAAACACGAACGCTTTATCAGCTTTTACTTCTTAATTTTTAACAAATTTTTTAACATAAAATTAATTTCAATTTACTCTTTTGCTTGCCGAAAGACAAGCGTTTTTATAGATAAGATATAGATAGATTTGATTTTATAGATAAAATCAAAGACAAGCGTTTTTTATATATTAAAATTAAATTACAAATTGGGATTTGTTAATTTAATATATTGATAATAAAACTAAGAAAATATGCTTTGCTTCATTGTTCGAAATTTCCAAAAACATATATGTGACACTGATACCATGAAGTTTGTTATATGTAGATTGCATATGTATTATGCTCGAATATTTATAAGCATTTATTCAATATGTATATAAAAAAAGGACTTTTCAAGGGAATGCATTACATAATTGCCTTATATAATTGCAATATATTAATATTTCAGTTATTTTTTGATTATTTATATGCCTCCGTTTTAAACTACAAAGTTGAAAACAAACAAAAACAACATCATAAATATCTAACGATAACATATAACTTTGTTATGGTCGAAAATAATAAACCTTCTCCGTGAAACAGCAAACGACTTTTATTTCCTCGAGTTCGTTAACACTAACGGACGATATCTTAAACTATCCAGATTAGAATCCATCAAAAAATAAAAGATAGTTTACAATCTAAATTTCATTTTGTAAGTAAAATAGCAATTGGTTATGTAAGTAGATATTAAAATTTGAAAGTTCTTGCGAATATCATATGTATCGTTTTTTTATTTATTATGTATTATTATCTATTTTATTATTTTATTATTCTATTATTATCTATTCCATACTTTTGCCTTTATCGTCATAATTATAATATACCAATAAGTTATAATATCCTAAAAATACTAATTCTCACGTAAAATATAAAAGCAAAATTACAGTTATTATTACATATTGTTTGTATTACATATTAAGCTTCTTCTGAAAATATTATCAAATATGATACACTAAATATGAATGCATTTTGTGCAGATATTTGAGAGGATAATTAATATGGCTAATTGGAAATTGTTAATAAATCTTGGAGTATTATTTACTGCTACAGCAATCCTTTCTATTGATGAAGATTCAAACAACGATTCTGCGATTAATTACCGTTTACCAGACCACGTAGTTCCGATACATTACGGTATTAAGTTAATACCATATATTGAGGAAGAAAATTTTACTTTTGATGGAGAATCCAATATTAATATCACAATTCGCCATGTAACGCAAAACTTGCATTTACACGTATTGGACTTGACAATAAACGAAACGAGAACATCATTGTTTGATAACAATAGTATTATCTATACACCAGCAACGTATATTTATAACAATATAACACAAATCTTAGTTCTTAATTTTAATGATAAACTATCACCTGGAAATTATACATTGAAAATGCGATATGTTGGTATCCTACATAACGATTTGGAAGGCTTTTTCATATCGTCTTATATCAATGAGGAAGGAAATGATGTGTAAGTAAATATTAATATCTAAAAGTTCTTTCTAATCATATATATTATTTTTTAAATATTATTATTTTATTGTTAATTTATTGTTATTAAATATTATTATTTTATTGTTAATTTATTGTTATTATTTATTTGTCATATATTGCTATAACATGCTAAAAGATCTTTTACTATCATATAAAATATAAGACTTAATGTAAATTACTTAATATCGTAATTTAATAATTGCGTATATATATATATACAATATTTTAAATACTTCTCTATATAATGTATTTTCTTGTTAATGTAATACGATTCCTCATATTTTATATTTTCCATAGAATTACGGAGTAAAATTTTACCTTCAACTTTTTTTAAATTCTAAAATGTTTGAAGAAAATTTTTGGGACTATTGTATAATTATATCGCATAATTATGTTCAATAAAATTTAACAAAATAAGAGATAACAGATTTTTGAAGAAGTAGACGCGTACGCATTTGATAAATTTTATTGGCCTTTACATTTTTATGCCTATTCAATAGCGTTTATATATCTTTATTCAAAAGCATTAATATATGTTAATAATATGTAGCGTCTAGAATCTATAAAAATGTTAAAATGTTAAAATGTAAAAATGTATACTATAGTGGACGTGAATAATGCATCATATTTACGCGTTTCCATATTTATTTAAGCACTTTATTTATTCCTATTCATGATGACAAAAAATTCATCATAATTAAAAGCGTGTCATTGAAATGTGGTAGGTGGTTGGCTGCAACGTATTTCGAACCGACTTATGCGCGACGAGCGTTTCCATGTTGGGACGAGCCAGCATTAAAAGCTACTTTCGATATCTCTATAAAACATCATCGAAATTATACGGTTCTATCTAATATGCCAATACGGGAAAAATCGGAGGATAATAAAAATGGCATGATATGGACGCACTTTGACACGACTCCCATCATGTCAACCTATCTCGTAGCATTTGTAGTGGTTGATTACGTTCGCGTTCCTACTAAAGATGAGACCATTAATATATGGTGCAGATCGAAAGTAGTGCCGCATACAAAATTTGCACAAGAAGTTGTTCAAAAATCTAAAAGGCTATTGACAGAATACACCAACAGCACCTCTAAAGTTCCAAAAATGGATCTTGTAGTACTCCCACGATTCATATCTAGTGCCATGGAAAATTGGGGACTTATTATTTTTGTGTAATATATGCAATTTAAAAAAAATATCGATAGAATAAAGCATTTCAGATATCTTGTGTCATATAAATTCAAAATTTTTTTAACTTTTGTCAAATTATTAATTCTGCTTAATTAATATTGAATATTATAACTATAGATTTTCACGAAAAAATAGATTACTTATTTTACTGAAAATTATAATTATTATTTATTGTTTTAGTTTTTAAAATAATAAAAATTATTTTTTTTATGAAAAGGGGTGCTTTAAAAATTTTTTGGTTATGTAAATAATTTAAAATTGAATTCAAAATAAAATTTTTTTCTGTGAAATACTTTTATAAAATATAAAGTATATGCATGCACGCGCGCGGACGTCTATACACGTATAAACACACACACACACACACACACACACACACACACACACACACACACACACACACACACACACACACACACACACGCACGCACGCACGCATGCACGCACGCACGCACGCACGCACGCACGCACGCACGCACGCACGCACGAACGCACGCACGCACGCGCGCGCGCGATCACACATATAGATACACATATAGAATAAAAATATAATTGAATTCTATTTTGGATTCCACAAAAGTTGAAAAAGATATAATTTTAAAATATAAATTAAAATATAAATTAGATGTACATGTATATACATATTTTCTCTGTATACCTATACATTTTTAAAATATAGAGAAATTCATTACTTTAAATAATTATTGTATATATAAACTTCCACATTTATATATTATAATTATTTTAAGTAAAAATTTACAATAGATTACGTAATTATAAAATATTTTGACATAAACATAACTGTATTTATATAATAACTTTTAGTGAAACAAGCTTTGCATACAATGAAAATTTCAACACAATATCTGCTAAACTAGATGTAGCGGAGACAATAGTACATGAAATGGCACATCAATGGCTTAGTAATGTAGTCACTCCATCATGGTGGTCTCATGTATGGTTAAGTGAGGGTTTGACGACGTTCTTCGAAGAATATATTCTCAATCAGGTAGGTTCATTAATGCAAATTTTGTTTGCAAATAGATTTCGCAAAAACGTTTCAATTAAATCCAAATATAATATAATACAGTTGTAACTTTCTATATGAAAAAATATAATATAATCATTAGTAACTTTCTATATAAAAAAATATATCGCTAATAATTTTAGATTATGATTACTTAAGAATTTAAAACAGATTTCTCTATAATTATTACTATTATATATCATAGTAAC